CCCCCCGACGCGCATACCATCACTGCCATCGCTCTCTGCCCCCCTGCCTCCGCTAAAACCCACCCACTGCAGGGTCCTGAACCCACACCAGTAGCCTACATCCTACAGCCTACAGCATCGATCTCAGATCTCAGAGCCCAACCCAGAAACTGCAGCCCAGAATTGAGAGTATTTAGAGCCTGTTTGTGTGTCTAAAGGATGTGTCTAAAGGATGTGTTTATAGGATGTGTCTATAGGATGTGTCTATAGGATGTGTTTATAGGATATCGTCAGGGACGTCCTCCAGCACCACCACCCTCTTCTCCGCATCCTTCTCCCCGTCCTTCTCCGTATCCGGTTCGTGCTTTGACAGACTGTAGTGTAATAGTATAACAGTGGGTTAGGGGGGTGTTATACACATACACCAGGGGTTTAATACATGTACCATACACCATTGAGGGTATTAATACATATATACCACATACCATAGGGGGGTTAAATACTCACCTGCGCATACGGGGGGGCTCCTCGGTGAAGGTGGGAGAATCAGCGCCCCGGTCCTCCGTGGGCGTGGGGGTGGGCATTTTGCAGTAGATGGCGCAGCTCATGAGGGACAGGACGGAGACGAAGGCGAGGCAGAAGGTGGTGAACACGGCAGAGACCAGGATCAGGTCCGTGTACTGCGGGTATAGAGGGAGGGTTTAATAGGTTTTGTGGTGTATAGAGGGAGGGTTTAATAGGGGTTAATTGGTGTGTGCATAGAAAGGGAGGGGTTAATAGGTGCGGGTATATAGGGTAAAGGGTATACATACGCATGAATACATATAAGCATATAAGCATATATGCATATAACCCACCTTGGTCATGATGTTATCGCAGTTGTCGTTTTGGTATATGGAGATGTCGAAGTACTGGCAGTAGCCCGGCCCCGCAGTGATGCAGGCGCAGAGGCGGTTGACGCCTGGGTTGTATTGGTATTGGTGTATAGGAGAGGGTTTAATGCATATTATAGTATAAAGGGAGGGGGGTAATATGCTCTCCTTCTACCCTGAAGTGTGTATTAAACCATATTTAATGTGTGTACCTGCTGAGTACTGGCACTCCACTGCGTAGGGGCCGAGGGTGGCGTCCCCGCTGACCACGTCTGTGTCCGTGTTCACACAGGCTTGCACCTACAGTACATATTAGTAATCATACATGTTTATGTGTAATCATTAGTAATCATGTATGTTTATGTGTATGCATATGTTATATATATACATACAAATATATATTTATGTGTATGTATATATATACGTACCTTGTTGACGGTCCTGAAGCCCAGAGAGTCGTTGATCATGCCCCCGATGCACAGGGCGGTGGAGGCGGATGCGAGGAACATCAGCCACTCCATGTGCCTCCTGTGCGTGTGTGGTGGGTAGTGTGTGGTGGAGAGGGGGGGTGGTGGGAGGGAGAGAGGAGAGCAGAAAAGGGTTTTGGGAAATGTCAGTCGGGATGTCAGTGGGGGTTGAGAAGCGACGGCATGGAAATAGGCTACCAGAGCAATATGGGTGAGATTGCGGGCCCCTAACAAAGCTCGAAAGCTCACAAATCAATAAAACACAGCACACAGCTCACACAGATCACTGCGGTTACAGGGCGGTTACAGGTAAAATCGACACAGGGGTATGGGGGGGAGGCTTACTTGGTAGTGGCGACTACTGCGATGCCTCCTGCGATGATGACGAACATGGCGGCCCACCAGGAGCCGTACCGATCGTTCGGGACGAAGGCCCAGGTGTGTGCGCCCACGCCGAGCTAAGAGGGGGGTCACACACAGATACAGTTTAGGAGAATGAGCAGTGAGCAAATGAGCAGCGAGCATTGAATGAGCATGATCATGGTTATTCCATTTAAGTCCAAGTGAATTCTGAGCCCACCCCTCTACCCCTCTAACCCGCACCTCGATGAAGCCCAGCACGAGCGTGCAGAGGCCGAGTATCTTGAGCACGGTGCCATTGGGGATCGGGGCCAGGGGAGGAGACTCGTTCGCTGGGGGAGCACGCTTGAGAGGCACGGTCATTGTTCAATCCGATGCAGGAGACTCTGGAATTGGGGATGGTACTGAGGCTTCCACTCGTCTTTGGGCTTGGACTGTTGGATTGCGGGCATAGACTGCTTCCGACTTGTAAACTGCCGCCCAATCTTTTTTGTGGGATCAGATCTGTGCACTTATTGGCGCCTTATCCCCGCCTTCACAATACAATAGCGTCTATTAATTGTATGGAGGGGGCCGCCGCCAACGCCGCCAACGCCGAAACTGTTTCAGTTTTTTCTCAGGAACAATTGATTCCATTGATTCCATTGATAGTAGTAGATTGGCAGCGGCAGCGGCAGCGGCAGTGGCAGTGGCAGTGGTAGTAGCACTTGCGGCGGCAGTAGTGTATGACTGCAGCAATAGTGTTGGTGTCGGTGTCAGCCGCGGTAGCAATGACATCGCAGGGGTGTGGCATAACTAACTTCACGGTGAAAAAAACAAGCTCGCCTGTTTGATTTCTTTTTTATAATCGTTCCTATTCTTGTATCGACACAACAGTACAAGATGAGGAGTCCAAATTTCCATAATGAAGAGGAGCAACAGCATAAAATCTAACCCTCCCGTGGGTTGGAAAAGGCAAACCGGTAAAAGGATAGGCCGGCCCAAAAATGGCAAAAAGAGTGGATCATCGGGGCTTCGATCCCCGTACCTCCCGCATGCTAAGCGGGTGCTCTACCAACTGAGCTAACAACCCTGGATACGGTGATGATTGATCATGTTGGTTATCCCACATAGGCTTATATAAACGTGCTTTGAATGTGCTGGGAGCAAAGATCCGAGAGCTGTTGGAAGGGAGAGAGAGGGGAGACACACACACCACAGCGATGAATGCAGGCACACCATCTCAGGCTGCGCGAGCTTCTCATATCCAGTTGACTCTCTAACGCCTCAGTAGCTGCGGGGTCTCAGAACTCAGAACGCAGAACGCTTGACGCTCGCAGCTCTCCGATCCCAGAGATCCGAGCCTCGCTCCTCACTCTTGCCTGTTGCCTGTTGCCTAGCGTAGGTCGTATTCGAGATGCGTTTGCTTTTGGTGCTGTGGGCACTGCTGCTGGTGGGTTCAGAGGGAGACGCACCGCGCACAGATAGCAGAGCAGACAGCAGAGACATAGACAGCAGAGACATATGGGGCAGAGACATGGACAGTAGCGACAGCCTTCAAGGCGGTGGGGACCGTAGGCTGCAGTTTGAAAACATGTTTGAGAACGACCCTGGACAGCGCAAGAGCAAGGGGGGAAAGGGAGGGAAAGGGGGAGGTGGGGGAGGGGCAGGCGGGGCAGGGGGTAAGCGTAAGAAGGTATCCCCTAAGCAGGCGAGGGGGCAGGCATTGGTGAAGGCTGTGCAGGAGATAACCTTCGAGAGCGACAGGTGTGGAGTGTGTCCTTTATTGCTGTATCCCTGTATCCCTGTATCCTTATTCTGTATTGCTGTATTGCCGAGCCTCAATAATATATGCCTTCAATATTGCTAAGCCCCTGTGCCCCCATGCCCCTATACTCCTATGCTGTATGCCCCTATACCCCTACACCCTTATGCTCTGCCCCTATGCCTTGTACGCTGTGATCTGTGCTCCTATGCACCTATACCCCAATTTCTCTTTACCTCTATATATCTGTAACCCTATGCCCCTATACCCCCCATCACCCCCATCCCCCCCCCCCTCCCCCATCCCCTCTCCCCCAGGTACCACATGTGGTGGACCGGCCCCCTCCACGAAAACCTATTCCACCCCGTCAGCTGGGCCGCCCCCCACTCCCCCACATCAGGTAAAGCACGAATGAATTCTCGTATTCCCTATATCAGGGGTATGGCTATCGAAAAGGACAAAAAGGACACGATGAAATGAGATTATATTACAGAAATTTATTTTAAATTTGATTCCCCCTCCTCAGATGCCATATTTACGATGGCAGTTATCCAGGGTCACAACGACAGTACGGTCTGCAGTTCCCCTAAGGATCTCACGCTGTTCCTGGGAACCGCCCGAAGAGTGCATGAGGGGGACATAGTGATAGGTACGATTCCCCCTATCCCCTCTAACCACCCTACCCCTCACTAACCCCCCTAACCCCCCTACTCCTTCCCCCAACTCAAATCCCTACCTATGCAGCGTTGGAGGCAGACGAGAGGGGGTCGATCACAGCGGAGATAAAGGCCATCCTCCACCACCACCGAGCAGTGGTCTACCTACTGCCCCCCAGCCTCTGCAGGTGTGTGGCTTATATGTGTACCGATTAGTGTATATCCGATTAGTGTGTGTCCGATTAGTGTTTGTCCGATTAGTGTGTGTCCGATCGTCTGATTATATGATTATCCTCAATAGGTAGCACTAACCCCTACTACCTACCCACTACCTTCCTACACCCCACCCCACTAATCCCCACCCCCTTCCCCCTACCTCTCTACACCCCTAACCCCTACCCCCACCCCCACCCCAACCCTTTCTCACAGCAAAGCAACCGACTCTATTTTCTGCGGGTCAGAGGAGGAGCGAGTGCCCGCATCCGTTTTTCGCTTCAATTTCTACGAAAAATGGGCCCTTCTGTATGCCGAAAAATCGCGTATTCTGATCGCGGATTTCCGAGACGTGATTTTCCAAGCTAACCCTTTCAGCTACAGGGTTGGGGACTGGTCGGCGGATTACCAACTGGCGGTATTTCAGGAGTTTCACCCCAATATGGTGATAGATAGATGCCACTTCAATAGGCGCGTTATGGAGGAGTGCTTCGGCGCTGCGGCGCTGGCCTCACTGGGCGGCCGCATCATCGTGAGCAGCGGGGCCCTGCTGGGCACCAGAAATGGAATACTGGTGTGGTCACATCACATGACCATGGTATGTGTTTGTATGTATATATGTATTCATTAATATATACTATACATATATACACATAGTAGTAACATACATACATACATACATACATACATAGTAGTAACATACGTACATATATAATAACATACAAACATAGTATTTATAACCCCCCCACTACCCCCCACTCTCCCTCTCTCCTCACCCAACAGCAACTGCAAGACGCTCCCGGTAGGCAGATGGAGAACCGATGCGTGTCAGGGGGCATCGACCACGGGTTCATAAACTGGCTAGTGTACGGTCAGAAGGTATGTTGTCCGATTAGTGTGTTTCCGATAAGTGCGTGTCCGATTATATGATTAATTGGTTATATGATTATATGATTATCCTCAATTGGTAACCCTAACGCATACCCCCTACTACCTACTCCTCAACCCCTACTTCCTACCCCCCTGTGCCCCCACCCCCACCCCCCCTACACCCCCAACCCTCCCCCCCCCACAGTTGCGCAACCTGCTACGTATTCGCATATACGCCCACGGAGAGGGGGCCGTCAACTCCCTCGGCGGTCTGCAGCCAGACACCGTAAAAGCCCACATCTCGGGCCCCCTGGGTGGGTTTTGGGGTCTGTTGAGGGAGGGCGTGGTGCTGAACTGGGACGGGGAAATAGCCCCTGTTGTGCACCAATTGGACCATTTTATCGACGAACTGAAGGGGATTGCGATGGGATATATTAGAGGCAACGTAACTCGGAGTGGGGGTGTGGGTGGGGGTGGAGGGGGGGGTTCGGACACATCCAAATCGGTTAAAGTGTTTGGATCGGATCTGGCTGCAAGATACCGAGGGAGGGGTGGTGTCAGTAATGGGGGTGGGGGTAGTGGGGGGGTTGACAGTGGTAGGCATGACGTTGCATGGCAGGCACTGGCTGCTTCTCAGTGCCTATTCGACTGCACAGATAGTGTGGATTTCGCAGCCATGGGGGTAGGTGCGGGCGCAGGTGCGGGCGCGGGTACGGGTACGGTTACGGGTACAGCCGCGGCACCGCCGCCATAGACCCACCACCACTTAAGACTTATTTTTGATGCTATTTTAAATAAAGCAAATGGCTGGTATTTTTATTAGCAGTTAAGCCCTGTGATTGCCAATGCCACCACTACCGCCACTACCACTACCATCACTACCACTACCATTACTGGCACCACCAATGCAACAACCCTGCTACAGCCACTGCCCCTACTTCCACCCCCTACTCCTGTGCCGGTATACCCACCCGCACCGCAGCTCTCATATCGGCCCATGCCTTCTCCAGCCTCTTCCGAGCCACAGGCTTCATTGTGGAGAGGGGTTAGAGGGGTTAGAGGGGTTAAATACACACTTGTTATGTAAATAGAGGGGTTAAATACACATTATGTAAGTAGAGGGGTTAAATACACATTATGTAAGTAGAGGGGCTAAGTACACACCTTCATCATCGCCACCAAGGCACCCACATCTTAGAGGGGGGAGGGGGGGGAGGGGGAGGGGGGGGAAGGGAGAGAGGGGGTTAGTGGACAGGATCAGAGTGAGACGGTAGCGAGTGAGGCTACCTTCTGCCGTGAGGTATGGCGCGTCCATTGCGTTTTTGAAGCCCACACGCTGCAGCAGCTCCGCTAGGTACTTGCGCGCCCGGTCGACCTCCGCCTGCGCCTCTGCCTGCGCCTGCACCCGCGCCCGAGCCCGTTTCTGCGCCTCTACCTCAGCCCTCCACTGACTTTCGCCCTTGCTCTGGGCGCGAAGAGACTCGATGGCCACCAGCCCCTCCCTCACCTCCTCTCCTACACCCAGCACCGCATCTCGCACTTCGTTCACAGCGCTCACCAGCTTCGCCACCATTATCTCCAGCTGCGTTGATTCCATAGTTGAGGAGTCAGATTGCCCAGAACAATTATGCAGAACAATACAACAGCTACACTCCTGCACAGCACCCATCACCAACCTATTGGAAGTGATGGGCCCTATTGGGAGCAAAAGTGAGGAAGCCGTCCCCCATCAAAAATAATTTTGAAATAGGCGTAAATATCAGCATATATACCAAATGTCGACGCCAATAATGTGAAACAAAATTTTAACCCTTTCCTCCATTTTCAAAAGATGTTTTTTAAAAAAAACATCTTTTGATTGAAGAGGTTGAGTTCCTGGAGTGGACAGGAGTACGGAAGAAGAGAAGCTCCTGTGTGTGGAGGTGCGGGATTTGTTTAGAGAATTGTTCAGAGGCATTGCTGCGTGTCGAGAACTAAGAAAACGCATTCGATATGCTGAAGGGATCGTGGAAGCACATGCGGGGGAAGGGGAAGAAGGCGAAAGCAGAAAAAGCAGAAAAAGATGAAGCGGAAGCGGTAACAGCGGTAGGGGTAACAGCGGTAGGGGTAACAGCGGTGGCGATAACAGCGGTAGCAGTGACAGTAGTGCCGGCAGCGGGATCCTCTCTCCCGCCAAGGGACGCTTCCCACATCGAGGCAGAGGGGCAGGATCAGAAAATCAGCGGCGAATGTGGGGACGTAGCTTTCGGAGGTGGGGGTGATGGCGAAGTCCGTGCCGAGGAAGAGGCAGAGACAGCATTGGCAGCAG